AATGATATTCGTTCATCCAAATTATACTATAATTTCTTAATACCTGAAGACAAGACTCGAAGGAATGCTTGTATCTTATATCGCACCTGCAGACACACAACGTCGACTAGTCGAGTAAACCGATAGTCAGTATCGATCTTACAAGTTGTAATTCATCACAGGGTAATTGAATGGTTACAATTCATCCAATTCTGGAGTATTACATGGGTGACATCACGTATACATCGGAGGATCAGTTTACCTAAATCCAAGAACCAACGAACACACGCACGATTACATCTACTCGTCCCTCTGTTGCGCATACAAGTATCGATTCCTCGATGGACAAACACGTTTACGATCTAGCTCCCCTACTGTGTACTAATCACTCTTAATCTACCGGTACACTTTAAATAACTTAATTGAACCAATGATCTTAATGATTCGATCCTTTAGTCCATGAATTACCTCACTTTTTTGTTTCTGTATTAAGATTTATGTGTAGTGGCCCGTTTCACATCTCTAATTCTAGCCATGCTCATTTTGTAATTCTTCGCCATAGTGTAATGGTGTCGAAACTATAAAATACAAAACGAAGCGCGCGGAAACGCGGCTACAAGAACACGCACACAAATTTCGCTATGCAAACGTTCCCTGACAAAGGGCGAGTTAGCCAGCACGGCAGCGTTCAAACCGGAGGAACCAGAGTATGAGGCGCGGGTTAAAATCACAAACGCCACGGGCAGTCGGCTGGTTTCTCGTAAAACAAGCAGAAATTTCGCACAATGCCCGCAGCAAGAGGGCTGGTTCGCTCGAAACGCAAGAAACGCAGGCCGTCAAAGCGCGGCCCGCCGCGCCGCCGCTTATCGTCTTCAGCCCGGGCTATCGTCCCCCGATCTGTGTCTCGTTCGTATAGTTTTACCTGATAAAACTCGCTTGTGTCCGAAGGGCTTGCTTAATTTCAAGGAACGCTCACGTTACAAAAGAGAGCACATTCAATGTGCCATTTATGGAATGCATTATATTAAAATAATTAATAATGTAGGTGTAGGTAACACCAATTAAAAAGAGTCTATTGTAAGAATTATTTATTTACTGTTATGCCATGGGACAACGTTGCTTTCTCACATTGCTTGCGCACACCTGGATCTATATATTATTTTACTGACATCGAATGCTAAAAAATGCTATGCAAATTGCACGGCGTAGAAAACAAGATGACCTGAATGTCCCGATGGCGGAGAAGTACCCATTGAACAGATAAGGAGAAGAAATGAATGGTTATGGCAGGAAGGACGATATCTTCATCGTCGCAGAATTCTGATAGCAGCCGCGGCGGTCTCTCAAAGCAGGCAGGACTAAAGGACTAAGGAGATATGCTGCGATAAGGACAGTGAAAAGTGTGGGAGGAAGAGAGATTCAAAGACGTCCGACGTAAGCGTAGACAAGCGTAATAAGCTCGTTGAAAGAAAGAAGGGAAATGTAAGAGGATGAAAGAAAGGGTGGAATGGAAGGAAGGAGGGAAGAGCGGAAGGAAGGAAGGAAGGAAGGAAGGAAGGAAGGAAGGAAGAGCGGAAGGAAGGAAGGAAGGAAGAGCGGAAGGAAGGACAAATCTAAGTCGTGGAACAGCAAGGGTCAACGTTTTCTGTTTAAGTAACGTCAAAGGTCCTGTCGCAAATGTTTCTTTCATCACCCACCGCCAAAGTTATCTGCGCACTAACCGTTTCGGGTCATATTGTACTTTTCATATTTGCGTGCATATATGTGGTGTATTTTTAGAACTTTTTGTGCTAACTTCGTATGCCTCTCTTTCATGAAAGGATAATTTTGATTATACATGTATGAGTGTATTCAAATATAAAAAAAAATTACATTTGAAATGTATTCATGACTGATTGTATATCAATATAAATTTGCAAGGGACGTCTAAAAAATTATACTCGACATAACTCAACTAAAACATTAAGAAACACCTCATATATGGCCTCATACCACAACCGAGTAGTTACAGAAGCAGTGAGCGAAGAATGGCTGGGGGCCGAGAGGCGGTGAGGGTCGCCACCGCTAAAAGGGTAAACGTTGTAGCCTGCCATGGCAGATTTCGGCTAAAACAACTTCTCCATCCATCTAACCCCCGACCTTTCTTTGCCACTCTCGCCCATCGACGCATCTCCATCCCGACGTTCACAGAATATGCGTGTATGTATGTAGGTATGGGAGCGTGCGCGCACGTTCACGATTGTTCGTCAGTATCAACGACCAGCAGGATATACCGAAGGAGATAATTAAACTTCCCAGCAGAGCTGGAGCACGTTCTCACGAGTCCTGCTCTTCCTGCCAGGATAGCTGCGAGAGTCAATACTATCTATGTATATAACCCACGTCTGCAAAGATGTCTAGATACAGGCAAAGTGTAGTGAGACCGTGCAGAGGAAAATAGCGATTCAGTATCGCTGGCTGATTGGCATCGAGTGAACGGGAAATTACAATCGGGTATTTAATTATAAATTTGAGTCCGCCACAGTGGAATTTGCAGTCTTGTTCGAGTATGTCGTAATCGTGTACGCAGAGGACCGAGGCTTCCGACACGATTAAATCGACGACGAACTGTCGACGATACTAGCTCTTTGCTAACAGCGAGGAAACCGTTGAAACGCTAATTTTACAAATCCACGAGTACATACGAGTGTGTTTAATTAATGCCGGACCGTAGTAATACGTGATCCGACTGGTTTCAACTTACTTCTTATTGCAGAGTTATGGCACATACTTGTGTACATGTACAATATATTCAAGAAAAAGTTGCATGATTATACTTTTAGTTAGACTATTAACTGTATATTATATACACTTTCGTCGTTACATACAATTCTCATTACGATATAATTCTCAGAAAATTCTCTCGGTATTCGAGTTCATTGACGAAATTAAGGCTTCATAAACCTCATATAAAAATTTCGACTCGGTATCATATCGTTTCTACAGAATAATTGTTATAGTCGGACGTAATTACATGAGAAATACATGTGCAAAGGTGTATCATTAGTCATCATTTCGTTTTCGAAATGTAGCATTTTATAAATGTTATCATGAAAAAGATCGAGTAAAGCCTTGTTAATACTGAGAAACAATTGTCTGCAGTCACGTGTCCGCAGACTGCCTTAGATTTGCAGTTTGTCTTCCATCAAATATATACGGTTAGCCTACAAATGATGGAAGATAAAATACAAATTGACCCAATTATTGAAAAAATTCTAACATAAGTAAGAATTGTTGCCAGGGATGTCAATCAGTGTCGAATGTTGTCGCTTTTTGTCTTTAGTGGTCGCATGATAAACTATATTGCAGGTGTATCGATTCAATCCTTGACCATTTACCAACCGATAATTGCAACGCGGTATTATTAATTACATGTGCATTCGCAATTAATATGCTTCAGATATCGAGTTAACGCTTGCCATTGTGACCGGTATTCGCATCCTACTCTCGGACACATTGTGTCGTCGACTAAGTAAAATGATAACAAATGAGCTAGTTACGATAGAATAATTTGTCTGTCCTATCAGGAAAGAATGCAATGGTGAAAGTCATATTCATTAAAGAAAATAAGAAACATCTTTAACGATACAATATAAAACTTAATAAAATTCTGCTTACCATACAATATTAATATGTTTTGATT